GAGAATCTCGTCAAGAGACGAACCGTGTATTTCGTCTGGATGAACAGTGCAAATAGAGAATCCAGAGGCGTTCGTCCTGGGACAAATATTAAATTCGTCCGGACGAGTAGGACTTAGAAAATTTTTATCCCTGCCTGTTCGATCCATTGCTCTTCTGAGGGGTTAATTGACATGATCGTCCCGTACAAACTATGTTTGTTCTGTACGATCAGTTCACAAAAGTTATTCCCCCAAATGTGTGTGTTGTGAATATTCACTCAATTACAATCACTCCCTCTAAATTCAAAAACATTTTTAAAGCTTTTAATTTACAAATGATTGGAAGCTGAATTTGATTTGAAGTCTTCATAGTTTGGAGTTGATTTTCCTGAAATGTTAGTACACACTAGAGCAAAAATAAATCTTCCAAAAAGTGTTAGGAGATATCTATACATAAAATAATAATATTTGAAATCATCAAAATAACACAAGTTGCAAGAATGTAAAACATGCAAATAGTAATTCTCTTAACAGTATAGTGGCTCAAACCTCCTAATAACTTTTATAAGCTGAATGTGGAAGGTGTTGTTATGTGTTCCACCACGGGATGTGGTGGGCTTATTAGGGATAGTCATGGGAGTATTATTATAGCTTTTATGGGTCCCTTACACAATTACGATGTGAACCTTATTGTCCTCTTGGTTATTCTTTATGGGATTAGATTATGCATTTCTCTTGACATTTCTAACATTGGCATTGAAGTTGATTTTAATTATAGTATTCACTATTTAAATACTATTAATGAAACTATGTGTAATCCAGCTATTTTTTGTTTGGTGAGGGATATTATGCATTGGTTGATCTTTATGAGCATCTCCTAATCTCATGTTTATAACGACGGGAATGCTTATGCAAAGTGGCTTGCCAACTTGTTGTTTGGCTTGGATGGTTTTACTGATTTTTTTGCTTCTAACCTCCCTGCTCCTTTAATAGGGTTTTTAAGATGTGATAAAGTTGGTATACCCTATGTTAGATTTTAAGGTTGCTTGATGCTTGTAGTTTTTGTTTTCTTTGGTTTGGGGTTTGCCTCCTGGTTGGTGTGTTGGAGGATATATCTATTATTATGTTCCTTTTTATCGTTTTATTTCTATTTGGGTGCAAGTTGTAGTTCTTTGTGTTGCTCTATGATGACCAAAATTTATCTATGGTTTTTATGGGTATTTTTGGAGTTTGGATGGTGGGCATTTCCTAGAGCCTCTCGGTTGGTTTGGGGACTACCTCTTGGTTGGTGTCCTGGAGGTTTTTTCTTCTGTTCTATTTCTTTTTGCTATTTTGTTTATGTTTTGGTGTCAGGAATACATATATGTGTTATTTTTGGTTGGCTAGAGTTTTCTATTACTATTTCCTTTTAATGGATGTTTTTGGGGATTGGTTGGTGGGCATTTCTTGGAGCCTTTCGTTTCTTTACTACTGCAAGGTTTTGTGGCTTTCAATTTTGTAGCTTTGTCTTCAATGTTTTTGGGGGTCTTATGTATACCTTAATGTTAAGCTTGGCTTTCTAGCTTTGTAATCTCGTTAATTTGTACTATTTTTGGGTCCTGGATCCTTTATAATTTATTAGGGGTTCCTCTAACATGGTCTGCGAGGACTACCCTTCTAATTTCTTTAGCTGGTTTGGTTTTCCTCCAGTTGCTTCCTATGCTCTGTTGATTCAATTTTATTATTATTCTATTAGGTTTAATGGCGCGTGGTGCCATTGGTTATTTGATGGTAGGGCTATCTATGCTAGTTTGGAGGTGATCAAGGGTTGTGACCCTTCTATCTTTTCTTCTATCATTACTAATGTTGATTGGGGTTGATGTTGCTTATTATGGTTGCTTAGGTGATAGTGATTTTGCAATTGTTATTGACTCTTTTTTCCTCCTTTTAATATGGCTTATGAATATATGTTAGAACTATCAACCAGTTATCTTTTATGTTTATTTGTGCTATTTCTATCTTGGGAATCACCCTTTTTTATAGAATGTTCTTAATGTAGGTTTCTATTGTGGTGCCATTTTGGATGGGTAGCTAGAGCTAAATGCTAGTTTTTGGATTCTTCATCCTTCTGGGTGCTCTTTCTTATGTACTGTAGAATATACCTAGGTTTGTTTGTACTTTTGCTTAGTAGGGAACTCAAGCTCTTATAATTTTTTTACTTTCTTTTTATAGCTCTTCTGAGAATTAGTGAGCTTGAGGTCCTTTTAAGAACTTTATAATTTTATTATTGAATTAACATATATACCCCTCGGAGGGTTTTCCCTAAAAAAATGGTTGATTAAACTCACAGAACTTTATGATCCCTTTCGTACATAAAAATTAGTTATAATCAACAAAATATCCATCAATCACAATTTAAGTAATATTATAATGTTCAAAATCTGAGTCTAATCATACCATAAGACATGTATCATATTGTATGATATTCATCAAACTGTATGATACATGATAATCATGCTTAAATTTATCCTATGATTTGGGGAACATTTATGGTTAATTTGTTTAATCAAATTATAATGGATAATTGATGATAATTGTACTGTATGATGATTCGAGCGATACATGGGACTATAATTATATCATTTCCTATCATCTAAGAGGTGATATGCTATGTTTTTTGACTAATCATATAGAATGAACACCTAAATTTTGTACTATACGAACTGATCACTGCATTGGAAGATAATTACATCGTGGCCTATCATATAGAAGGATAAATATATCTATTGAACAGATCTTACTGGGCAATACATTTTATACTATCTAAAGAGGCTGCTTTGTTATAATCATACTAGACGATGTTCTAAATCATCCTAGACGATCTATTCATCTCTTTGAACTAATCATACAGAGCCCATCTCCTTGTACATTACTGCCAAGAATCGTAAAGGATGATCTTAGATTTTACTAGATGATCAGAGTCAGCATATTGAAATTTAAGGCTTTATGATGAGATTTCTATTTAAGATTTAAAAAATCCTTGGCTAAATGAATTTTGCTGCTAAGTTGCTCTGATTGGGAGCAAAGAGGTTCTTAGGAGAGCTTTGGGAGAGAGAAGAAATGAAGAGTTTTTTTGAGGGAGAATTGTGAGGGATTCACAAGGTTTCTCAAAGCAAGGCTATTCCTCTTCTTCTTCAAGTTTCCACCTAGATCTCTTGGAGGCTCCAGGAAGACACTCTACATCACTAGTTCTTGGCTTTCTTCCATCCTCAGGAGGGAGAATAAGAATTACAGGTTCTCTACCTTCACTAGGAGGGTGAAAAAGAGAGAAAGGTCCTCTACCACACTGGGTTAGTGGAAGATATTTTATAAGGGCTTCTCTGCTATGCTGTGGGGGAAAAAGGAGAGACACTACTTTTAGTGCTATAATAGGAATGAAGGGTTTTGTGGAGGGGACGTAAATCAGATTGGACTAAACAGCTATAGATGTTGGTGTGCTTATTCTTATTATTTTACGCACTTTTATTTTTCTATGATTTTATGCACTTTTATTTTATAAGGGCTTCTCTGCTATGCTGTGGGGGAAAAAGGAGAGACACTACTTTTAGTGCTATAATAGGAGATTTTGTACAGGCTTCTCCACCATGCTGTGGAAGCAAAATAAGAGTCACTGAGTTTAGTACAATACTCAGAGGGTGCCTCCGAGAAGTGGATGTAGGTCGAGTTGATTAAACCAGTATAAATTTCTGTGTTCTTTACTATTGCTTTTTTCACATTTAATTTCCACGTTAAATTTCTTTGCCGTGAATTTTTGGTTTGGTTTAGTTTTTATTTTTGATTGAAAGATTTTTTTAAAATACCAATTCCCCCCCCCCGAAAAAAAACACCCCCCCCCCCCCCCCCCCCCCTCATGGTTAGCTTGGGCTAGTTCATAAGGGCTTAACATCCCTTCGAACTTTCAAATTCATGACCATCCAAACTCCAATTTTAAAAATCATATAGTTAAATTAAATTTCTCAAGGAGACAAATCCAACATGACCAAATTTGATACATTACAAGCCCAAATAGGTCCAAATCAAAGGTTCAACACCTATTCGGAAGATTCAAAACTCTAATTGGTTGACCAAACGATATCCAAATATGACATGCATATAGTCAAATCGAGCAGCTCAATTAGTCAAATCCATTCTTCCCAAAATCCTTCAAATCTGGCATCTCTTAGGTATTTAATTGCTTGATAAATGCTCCATGTTCAAGGGGATCAATATGAACCATCCAATAGAATACTCTCAACTTGCCCTTGATTTTCTTCATATTTACTAGGCATGTCACATCGAAAAAAAATTATAAATAGACCCCTTATTTTTCACAAGGTGGGGAGGGAGAGAAGAAAGACGATGGATCTCTATTACTTTATCAAGCTTGCACCACCAGTTGATCTTTTCTTGAACACTCATTGTCGTCGAACTTTAACCACTGACTATCGCCAAACTTTTGGCTATTCATTGGTTGATATTGGATCTTTTTCCAACAACCAAGTATTTCTAAACATCTGCTTAACTGCTAATTAACAATGAATCTCCAACCATCGCAAGACAATGGTGGAACATTCTTTGTTATTCAATATGCATCAAGAGGACTAATCTTATGAAGTTCGGAAAACTCTTTAGCATATTGTATTCTCCTTGACCTTGAGTTAAAGTTTGAATTGACTTTTGTAATTTATTCAAATACTTTTGGAATCATTTCAACTGGGCAATACCTCATGATTTTTTCCCTTTTCTGAGTTTTACACATAAAAATTCATTTGTTTTTCTATCATAAGTTTGTGTGCTAGATTTTCATACATTACTAAAATGTAAAATCTTTTACTCTACTAGATATGCAACAACTATTTTTTATGTTGAAAATTATTGAACTATAAGATTTTGTAATGTTTGTTTAGCATCATTATATGAATAATAGTGAATGTTTCTAATCCAAATTAACAAATAAATATGTAGTTGTAATTCTAAGTATTTAATACTCATATAATGATGCTAAACATTTCTGGAATCATTTATATGTATGCCTTCCCGCACCGTTACATGTCGATAATTTGAACGCAACGGAATATAGCTTACGCAAAGATACATTTGTTGAACCAAAATTGTTATCTTTTTTTTTTTTTCTATAAATTACATTGTGGTCTATTTTGGAAATGAAAAGCTGCATTTCTTGTAGCGAAAATAAGATATTTTTTCTAACAATTGCATTGTATAGTTTTGGGAATATCCTGGCATCTCAAACAGTTAGGTGTTCCACTGCGATCACCATCAGGTCCAGGTCCGTTACCGCTGGCATCTGTATCAATAATAATTAATAAATAAAAATGAAATAAAATTATGTATCATTTTTTAAGAGATAAGTTTTATTAAGGAGAAATAATGCCTTTCATTCAAAAATTTATCAAATAAATTAAAATTTCGTTTAGGATAATTTTATTATTATTTTTTAAAATAATTTTTTAATACAAAAGAAAATACCATTGTTTACTGTACCTTTTAGCCATTTATCAAATCAAGTTATTTTGAAAAAAAAAATAATAATAACTTTGAAGTACTTTAAGTGATGGATGCCACTCAACCCAAACAGTTTGTTTTGTTTCCCCTTTGTGTCTCTCTCACGACTCGCGACTCACTACTTCAAACACAGCTTTCGTTTTCCCTTTCGCTCCTCTCTCGCCCCCAAACGGAGACCGCCAGCGACAAATATTTATGTCTTCTAAGCTCTAAAGACCATGTTATTTGTATTATAAATTTTGATCTTATAAATAGAACTATTTTAAGTTAGGTCTCCTGTGAACAAAATTTCTTGCTCCACCACTGACCACAATCACCAGTACCACCAGTGACCATCTTCACCCTTCCAAAATCAATTTATTTGATATTTAATAAAACTAAAAATAGCACGCTTTGAAGTTACCAAAAAAATTTATTTGATGAGCAAATATAAATAAAACAAAACATAATTAAAATACAAGAAATGAAAAATTAAATTGATCCCAAATAAACTCTTAACAAATAACAAATACTAAAAAACTAATATTTTTAAAACCGGGCCGGACATGCCTGTTCGACCGTGAATCAATTCAGTTGCTTGTCTAAAGAAGTTGAAAAATCGGATTTGTATTGAACTCGTGATAACTGATTCAACCGGTAAACTGTTGTACTGGCTCCGGTTTGATTAATATTTAATTTTTAATATTAAGTTATAATAAAAATAATTAAAAAATGCAAACTAAAAAAATGTATTGAAAGAACAAAACTTGAAAGAGAGAATGATCCTAAACAGCTCCTATGCTCAGATATAACTTATGATCTACATTTTATTCTTACTTAACAACAATGAACTTTTAATTTTTAAATTCAATATTTCTTTAAAATAGCAAGAGCATGAGCTTGCACAGCATATTGATGAAAATATAAATTAAGCTTTACAGTAAAACTATCATTCTAAATTAGCCTACTTAATTTGGCCTTTTTAAATGCTTATCTATAAATTCAAAATTATATGACTTGTAAAGTAAGAAATGAATATTAATTCTAATAAATTAAAGCTATTCTGACAAAGAAAAAAATAAAAATTTGAACAAACAATTGTATCATAATATTGATATAAAACGCATAAGGATAGAAATATAAGCTCCAAATCATGATAAGTTCTTATTAAATTGTTTTTTTCTTGCCCATAAGTCCAATCTTTTTGTTAGTATGAAATAAAAGTTTGTGCTATTATATAAATTATAATTTATTCAATAAATTGGCGCCTATAAATTTTTATTTTCTTTTTTTGAAGGCATCACAAACATTCCAAAATAAAAAACTAACCTCCACCAGCAGGAGCACCAGCAAGACAGTAGGTTGCAAGGAGGAGCACCAGCAAGAGCAGGAAGAAGTAGTAAAACCTGCAAGCCATGGAACTTTTCTGCTAATATCCTTATTTGCGTTGATGAATCTCATATTTATAGAAGATGCAACTAGGCGAGTCTCATTGTTTTATATTTATTTTTTTTCATTTTGTATCAATGTGAACATTCTGAAAAATAAGGCTTCATATCATAAATATGAAGTACAGAAAAGTGGGAGCAAATGGCCACCAAATTTGACTTTTTTTTTGGCAGGTGTTGGCAAACATTAAACAGATCACGAAATTACTTTTTAGTTCAATAAATAATATTTTAATTTTAATTATATAAAAAATATATAAGAAAATATAATATTATAGATTTTTTATGTTATTTAAAGATTATAACGTTATATAAATAAATATTGAAATTTAATACTTGTAACAAAATTCTTAATATTTTAAACGTTGATTTAATTCCATTTACAAATGCAATTGCATAATTTGTAAGAATTTTTTCAAAAGTATCATTATACTTTATTTAATAACGAAAATAAACATACAACAACAACAACAACAACATCAAGCCTTTATCCCACTACGTGGGGTCGGCTACATGAATCCTTTTTCTCCATTGTGTTCTATTAAAAGTCAAATTCTCATTTAAACCTAATAAAGAAAGGTCATTCCTAATATTTTCTAACCAAGTCTTTTTAGGTCTACCCCTACCTTTCTTAACATAAGTCAAATCTAACACCTCTACTCTCCTAACTGGGTCATCAGCCGTTTATTCCTTCAAAAGGTATTCTAGCTTTTATTACTTTAAAGTTTAAACGGCTCTTTAAATTTTTTTTTTTTGAGATTCCCCTTCTCTTTCTTTTTTTTTTTTGGGAAATTTTGGGGCATAGCCCTTTTATTAAAAACCAAAAAGAAATACATTTCCCATACAATAGGAAAATAAACTAAAAATAGTTTGCAAAAGAAAAAACAAAAACTATCATTCATTCCCAAGAATGAATGAAAAAGACTTAGAAAACAACACACTGCCAACAAGGCATTAAAGATCCCATATCAAAACAAGAGCACAAAACTAAAATCAAAACTCATCTCAGTCTCAGTAACAGAAGCTGAAGCAGAAAGCTGGGCACAGAAGTTCACAATAGACTCAATTCTGGGTGGAGTGCCAAGATGAGCCCAATACTACCAATGAAAGCCAAAGAACCATGTCAATCTGCAACCTATCAGAGATTTGTTCCAACCCAACAGTCCCACGTGTAACACCGCCAAGTAGAAACCTCCAACATTGTCCAGATAATTAAACCCATAACAATCTCCAAGGAAAGAAGCAAAATCCTTCTTCAAAATAGCCAAATACCAAGCAACAGAGGAAAGGAACATCCAAAGATATCAGCAACGACTAAGTTCCTACAGATTCAGTCAAAATTAGGTACTCAGCATGATTGTCCAGTGAAAGCTTTAGAATAATCAATCCACCCGTTCTCGCTCCAGCATCAGATCATCAATGCCACGAATCATCCATCCACAAAAGAAGAAGAACCAAATCAGTAAAGAATAACTGAAAAAAAACCTATTAAATTTCTCAGAATTCTTCCATTGCTACCAAAGGAAAAATTTGAGAAAAAATAGTACCTTCATTCTATATAAAGGAGAGAATGAAAGTAACAAGACTCCAATAACCAGCTAAGTAAAATAAGGATAGAAAGTAGTAACCAAACCAATCTCCAAGAAGAAAAGAAAAAAAAATATCCTTGAAAGAGCCAAAAACCAAAATAGAAGAGGAAAAGAATCTTTCAAAGGGGCAGCAACGACCAAATTGGCACAGATACAACAAAAAATTTCCCAGCAAGATTGTCCAGTGAATGCTCCAGAAAAACAACCCCACCCGATCACACCCCAGCAGAAAATCAGTAATACAACGAACCAACAACAACAAGAAGAAAAAACCAAATCAGTAAAGGATATTTGAAAAAACTTTCTATAACTCCTCAAAATTCTTCCATTTCAGGACTTTCATTCTAACAGCTTTTTTAATAGAATAGTAAAGATCCGAGGGAAAGACCCAATTGCCAGTAAACTGCTTTTTATTTCTTTCAATCTGAAGAAAATAAACCAGAGAAGAAATAATAAAATGAATAAATTTTTTCTCTTTGTCAGTAAAACCATGAATAAGATCAAAATAATTCAAGAAATGCAATAAATTGGGCCTCATTAAAAACTTATCCATATGAGGAAGAAAATTAGAAATAACAGAAAAGGAATAATCACACTAAAAAAATAAGTAATTATGGTTCTCCATCTCATAACTGTAAAAAAAACAAGAGGAATTGATGACAATGTTCCTCTTTAATAACAAGTCAGCCGTTTTTAACTTTTCCAAAATAGTCATCCATGTATAAACAGAGAATCTAATAGCATGACCCTTGAACCAAATAAATTTATTCCAAGGAGTACTAGATAAGTTCTCATAATAGCTAGCCAAGAATAAACGATGGATTGGGTTTGGTAAGCCATCCTAGAGCACCGTCGGTTGCTTACCAATAGAAATTTTTAAAATTTCATCCAACACAATTCTAAGCAAATCATAAGTGTTCCTCCAATTATTCTAAAAGATATAGTTTTTAACTGGAGCAAAGGGTCCAGGAGGAGGATTAATAAAATCAGAAATAGCTTTACCATTATACCAAGGGTCCCAATAAAAATATAAGTTACTATTGGAAGCAATATGTAAGGTAATTTTGTGTTTAATCTTTCTAGCAACTTCACAAATAAGCTTCCACATTTTGGAAGCTCCCACCAGAGGAGGCTTCCAAGGAGAAGAGAATTTCTCTCTATACTATAAGGCCAAGACACTGTCACGGGAGAGGCTTCTCTGAATAAGAGAGCATTTAAAACTATGATTAAGAGCCTTAATCAAAGGTAAACCTAGTCCACCTGCAACCTTAGGGGGTGCAAATATTGGACTAGGCAATGGTATGTAATTTTCTTTCATTAGTTTTGCCATGAAAAAGAAACATAGAGCACATCCTCTCAATAACATTGCAGGAGCTTTTAGGTATTATAGCTACCCTAATCCAGTAAGTTAAAGTATTATCAATAGAGAATTTAAGAAATTGTATTCTGTCGGTCATAGATAAAAATTTAACTTTCGAACCATCCAATGAACTAGAAATTTTGTTAAGAAGAGGCTTAAAATGAAAGCATTTAATTTGTTCAGAGAAATAGGCAAACCGAGATAGGTAATGTACTGAGTTAAATTAACAATCCCCAAAATATTGAGATTTCCTCTAACTGGTTACAAAGATCAGCAAAAATGATGGTGCTTTTTTGCGGGTTAATATGAAGTGCTGAAGCTTTAGCAAAATCATCAAGAATTATCTTGAGATTGTTAACATTGTTAATAGAATTTTCACCAAAGATAAGAACATCACCCACATAAAGTAAGTGCTTAAATTCATGCCCATTAGAGACAATGCCTTTAAAGTGGTGGTTAGATTATCATGTAACCTACAAGAATAAGCATCCATCACAATGCTAGAAAGAAGAGTAAAAAGCAGGCAACCTTGTCTAAGTCCAGACGTGGATTTTAAAAACCCTTGCAGTGAGCCATTTAAACAAATGAAAAAATAGACATTATTAATGCAACCTTTAATCTATCTAATATACTTCTCAGGAAAACCTTTCATCCTCATATGATTAATAATAAAATCTCTGGATACTGAGTTAAAAGCTTTAAGAATGTCAAGCTTAGCACAAAATAATTCCTAGAATTTTTTAAATCTCTTAAGATTTCATTGGCTAAGATGATGTTATCAGAAGAAGATCTATTCTTAATAAAACTGGCTTGGCTATCATGAATAATAAGAGGTAAAATATTTTTCAATCTTTTAGCAAGAAGTTTAGCAACAATCTTGTAAAAAATATTGCATAAAGAAATTGGTCTATAGTCAGAAATAGTAGAATCATGAGAATTTTTAGGGATGAGGGTTATAGCCATGGCCTTAACCCCTTTAGGAAAGTGACCATAGTTAATAAAATTTTTAACAGCATTGCAAACTTTTATCCCAACAATGTCCCAATTATCCTTATAAAATTCAGTAGTGAATCCGTCTGGACCAGGGGAAGAGCTAGTAGGAAAAGAGAAGATCACATCTTTGATGGCTTTATTAGTAAAAGAACCAACCAAATAATTAGCAGCTTCAGAAGAAAGTAAAACACTAGTACAATATTCCATGGAATTAACAAAAGGAGGAATAGGAATATTAAAAAGATTGCTGAAATTATTAATCAAAGCTTGGGCAATGTCATCATGATATGAAAAATTACCATCAAGCATAGAAAGGACCTTTAAAGTATTAATATTTTTCCTGTTTCTAATTTTTACATATAAGAAACCCATATCCTCTTCTCTGAAAGTAAACCATTTATCTTTGGCCCTTTGAAGCAACCAAGAAGCCCAAGAAGCTTGATAATTAGAAAGTAAGTCATTAATATCCTTAAGGTGAGAATTGATAGTACAATCTAAAGGATATTTCTCAATCTCATTAAGATAAAATAGTTGTTTACACTTAAGATCATCAATGGCCTTAGAGTTGAAACAAGCAGAACTCCATTTCTTCTTTTTAGGAAAATTCTTCAAAGTTTGCAAGCTGAAGTAAAGGGAAGCAATAGGATTAGAGGAGGGGCAGCTTTGAAAAGCGTCCAACAGGGCTTCTCTAAAACCCGTTTGATTAGACCAATATTTTTTAAAAAAGAAATCTCGACAGTTTAAGCTGAATATTATCAACATGTATCAAGAGAGGAGAGTGGTCAGAGCACTAGAGGGATCCACATTGTAATATGATTTAGGATATATATCCAACCATTCAGTGTTAACCAAAGCTCTATCCAACTTAATTTGAATGGGATTATCATTCTATTGGTTAAACCAAGTATAGTACAAACCAACTGAAGCAGGATCAGTAAGTTCACAATCAAAGATAGTATTATTAGAATCACCAAACCGACTAGAATGTAAAGTAGCACCCCCCAATTTTTCATGATCATTCCTACAACAGTTGAAGTCACCAACTAAGATCCAAGGTTGGGTAATAG